TTTTTTTTTTTTTTTTTTTTTTTTTTTTTTTTAAACTTTTGGTTTAATGCTACGTAATTGTTTCAAGAAATTCCTTTTTGCTCAATTCCCAAATCTGCCAGCCTGTTGTATCTTCTTAACTGGAAAAATGAGATGAGTGCTTGAACAGTTGGTAAGTAAGCAGCATGCTACTCTCTGAACATTTTTTAATAGTTTTCCAAACATTTTGTTTTTACTGGGTCAGCTAGTGCAGTAGATGAAGCAACGTTAGTGGTTAGCCATATAAAAAAAGAGATTTGCTTAGCATCCATTTTAAGGGACTTGTACATGTAAGCTGTTTAATTTGAATGCACTGGCTTTTTTAGTGATTTGTCTCTACATTTTGAAGCTTTTACTTCCTGTTTACCTCAGGCCAGTGAAAGATATTGTACTTGCTGTTTGGTCATAGATCATTAATTACCGTGGTTGCAGGGCAAAGCGCATTTTTGCCGTTCCTTGGGCTTTTCAGTGTGATGAAAGTGCTAGTTCTCAGCAACGAAGTGACCTTAGGAAGCAAAGTAAATAATACTTAATGAGCATATGTTTCTGAGGCTATACAAAGGGTAATCTCAGACAAACTTGCTCGATTTATAACTAATTTAGAACATTTTGTGCCCTTTATGCAGGTTTTAATTGTAGCGCTTGCGTGCTTGTTTGAACAAGCTGTTTTTCAGTGATCACCAGGGCTGTTACAAAAGCAGAGGAAGGATGCGCTTTTGTGCTTTTAATGTGATTTTTGCACTTGTTTTAGCAGTCCACACACATCCAGGATTTTAGGGAAGAGCTGGGAGCTAGGCTAGCTTTGCAGATGACTGCACTGAGCCACAGTACATGCTGACTTTCCTAGAGCCTTACCATGGATTTTATAACATTCTGTAACACAGCAAATTACCTCTGGTTCCTTGTTTACCAGTATGAGTATTTTACTTTGACTGTCTTACTTTGATTAACAGCTGGCCTCCCCCCCCCCCCCCCCCCCCCCCCCCCGCTCTCTCCCCCCATCCCTCAGGATTAGATTATAAAAATATCTAGTTCAGTTTGCAACCTGAAACACTGCTGGGGTACCAGTGGATTTCATGTCATAGCATTTTTTGTGTGCAATTTTAGTGCATTTTTCAGCATACACAAAAAGTGCTGACACAGCTAAGAAGTTATTCCGGGTTTTTTTGTCCTTCAGTTGCTAAATGACCAAAAATTACGTTTGGCCATAATTTTCCTAACAGCAGTTCCTACACATCAGCAGTTCACTTTCGGTCCCGAAGAGCGAACAACATAATATTTATTTAATGCGAGGAGGCAGGAGCAAGCGATCTGCAATCAGAAAGCCCGTGTCAAAATGGCTCCCCCAGGTTTTGTTAAAGCAGGATCTGTTTCAAATCTGCACCTCCAGACACGCTGCTGACAGCGGAGCACACGTTTGTCTGCGCTGCCCTCGTGCGCGGCACGGAACGGGGCGTCGCGAGCCCGTTTAAGAGTTCACTCTTTTTAATCAACGCAAATACAATTCCTTTATAGTTCATAAAAAAAAAAAAAAAAAAAAAAAAAAAAAAAAAAAAAAAAAAAAAAAAAAAAAAAAAAAAAAAAAAAAAAAAAAAAAAAAAAAAAAAAAAAAAAAAAGCCCACACAAATGTCTGCATTGCAGCAAGATGTCTGAGGCAAGGTAGGGACAGCAGCGCTGTGTTGCAGCTCAGCCCAATGGCGCGGCTCCGCCAGCGCCGGAGCCAATTGCTGCAGCGGGCAGGTTAAAGATTGACAATTGCAGTGGCAGGGCTGAGAAGGGCCTTCTGGAAATTTCTGCCATCTTTGTTCCGTCTAAGCAAGGCAAATTCAGCCAGGCTGAAGAGTTTTCATGTATTTTTTTGGTGCTTTGTCAAGGTACGGTGTTATCACTCACTTTTCCTAGATTGCATAATAAAGCAGCACTTTATAAAGCTGTGGGGTTTTTTTTTTTCTGTTCAGGACAGAAATGGAATGTGGGTTTTTTTTGTTTGAGTGACAGACCCAGGGAAAAAGCACGTATGCTTTCTCCCCAAGATTTTGCCGGACTGGATCCTGTTAATATCACAGTTAGACAGGACATGTATGAAGAAATGTAGCTGAGGTTTATTCAGCTTGTAGCAAATGGCCATTATTCTAATATAACTAGCAGTTAATCATGTAATTGCACTGTAAGTTTTCTGGCTACTAAAGAGTAATTTGAATTGCCCAGGATGAATATGATTAGCCATTATTATTTAGTGCCAACATCCAGTTACTTTTGTAATTAACTGGACAAAGAATGCAGTGGGGGAAAAACAAAGGAGTGATCTGGATTATAAATCATGGTGAAAACAGTAGCTTTTTAAAAGCCTTTTGCAGGCTACATTCTTTGCAGGCAAACTGTTTTAGTTGGAAGCTAAATAGTGCTAGGGAAAAGCTGAGTAATTTCTTTAAACAAATGACACTACTTAACATACTGGGAATGAAAAAAATGCAGAGTATAAAACACTCCAAATGTGACATTCACCACCCCCCCCCCCCCATTAGGTAGGAGTACTGAAATGTAGCAGAAAATCTACGTGGCTGCTAAGGAAGCATGAAATAAAAGGAACTTCATGCTCAAAATTCATAAATAGGTAGATTACATTACAAATTTAGCCCTTTGGATCAGTGTCCATAAACTTCAGTTGGCTCATCTTCCTGAGCCGTCTTCCATTTTGTGATATCGCTTTTGCTTGAGTTTTTGTTTTGTTGTTGTTTTGTGTGGTGGTGTTTTTTTTCTTTTTTTTTTTTTTTTTTTTCCTTTTTGCTTTGTTTTCAAGTGTATTGTACTGTATCACTTTTCAGCTACTGGCCCTGTGGATCCAGTAGCTGAAAAGTGATAGGTCATGGTCAGTTTTCCATAGTAATGGTACCACTCCAGCATAATTGGTTAAAGGGTTGTAAATCTCAGTAACAGCTCTCCTCTTCTCTGTATGGGATTCAGGGTATTAATTTGAATTTCCTAAATATCTTGGAATTTGAACATAACCTTTCCTCACGTAGAGTGTAGTAGACAGCAGTTCTCA